AACCCCTGCCTCTCACCAGCCCCCACGCTGAAGAACAGCCTGCATGAATATGTAGGGCCTGGAGGTTGTCATCAGAAGAGAAAGCCTGTGCTGCAAGAGATAACAGCTCTGACACATCTCTCTCCCTGAGAGATGAGCAGTGCAGAAATACAGCAGATTTCTGTGTTTGATTCGGCAAGAAAGTCAGAAAAAAAAAGAAAAGAAAAAGACGGAAACAAACAAGCAAAAAAAGCTTCTAAAGGTCCCAGGTGGCCCTTAACCCAGGTGTCATGAGTTAAGCAGGGCAGTAGCTTGCATTAAACTAATTATTTTATCTTTTTGTTACTGAAACAAAGAAAATCTCCTAAATATAAAAAGCTATTTTCTTTTTTTTCTTTATTTTCTTCTTTTTTTTTTGGACTGTTTTTTCTTTTACAAAACATTGAAATGGGAGTTTTGGTGTAAACTGCCAAAAAGCCCTGACCGAGAGCTGCCCGTGCCCAGGCTCATCGCACCTAAGTGCTCCCTGGGCAGACATCCACAGCGGCTGAAAGGGTGGAAAGTGCTTGGAGGATATAAGCTTTGCAAATGGTGCCAGGCGAGGGGTCATTTAGAATCCCCAAGACTCAACCATCCTCAAGGTCATTTATTTCCCAAGGAGGAGAAAGAGGGTTTTTATCTTTTTACTCTTTTATCCTGAGCTTTTTGCATTGCCAGCTCGTTGTGCACGAAGCCCAGACCAAAGACAAGGAGGCCAGGGCTAGCAGAGCTCCCGTCTTCACCCCTTCCTCATCCTCACTGCACACAGTGGCAGCCCCAGCCCCTCTGCTCGTCCTCAGGAGCACGTAGCACCTCGGGGGCATTCTGCACACCTCAGTTCTGCTTCAAGGGATGCAGGGCCTGGCTATCAAGTCCCAGGAGACCAGCAGTCCCTTTCTTCCCCTCCCTCCATCTTTGGGGATGTCAGGGACACCCTGCCCACCTCGAGGAGACACGTGCATCTTCAGACATGTCCCAGAGCCCTGCTGGAGCCTCCGCATCTCCTGTCAGAGAGGCCAGGCAGGCAATCAGGCTCTGCTCCGGGGACATTTGGGGACTATATTTGATGGATCATCTGGAAGTGCATAGCTTTGGCAGGCTAATCATTGCAGCCCGTCTCTGGCAGTGATTTATAGGTCTGTGTTAGACGCAGTAGAAAACAGAAGGGCTTTGCAAGGTGAGACGTGCTGGGTGTTGTGATGCTGTCGGGACGCAGCCCCCGGGACAGAGACCTTGCTCGGTGCTGAGCCCGCATTCCAAGATCATGCCATGGACTTGGTGGTGCGTCGTTCCTGCGCCTACCACGGAAAGCTGGTCCAGGCCTCCAGCAGCAGGACCAACTTGGGTAACCTCCCATGATAAGGCTTGAAGTGGCTGGAAGTGTCATTTAACCTTTCCAGTAAATGTGTTCCCCAGTAGCAATGTGTTCATTGACTTCCAAGGGAACAGGATGTAAAGCCAAGAGACCTTCACTTGACCCTCATCCATAACAGGGTGCAGCTCCAAATGCTACCAGAATAATTTCAGTGTCCCCACACCTTTTGAGTCAATGTGAGCTGGCAGGACCTTCCTGGCCACACAGAGTTAAGGCTCAGTACTATGCATAGGGGATATCAGTAATTGATGAGGAAACAAAGGGAAGTGTTGCTGTTACTGACATCCCTGTAATGAGTTGCATGCTGAGCTCAGCCCACACGTGGTGCAATGCACCTCCACGGGTCCTTCTCCTCACCCTGCTGGCACTCATCATCCCTTCCCTTCTGGAAGAGCATCCATGCGCACTCGTACAGGACCACTGCCCCTCTCCTTGTGCTGCCAAGCTGGAGAGGTCTCCTGCTGCCGAGCGGCCACGTGCCAGAGCGCAGGGCGATGCGCTGGGGCTGTGCCCGGCACACGGGGGATCCTGCGGCCGCTGCCTCCACTTGCTCCAAGCACACAAGGGCAGCGAGCGGCTCCAATTCCCCCCGCTCAGCGCCTGGGGTGCGGATTCCTCTTGCAGCCTTTCTGAAGCTTCATCAATGTTTTAGAGTGGCCCAAAGTGCCTGCTGAGGCGGCCAGGAGGGGAATGAAACTCATCTTAAATTATTAACCGCACACAGGCAGACGTGGGGCCGGATGCAAAGTGACTTGTTTCCCCTTCTCCCGTGTGCTGCAAGATTGCCCAGCACCAGCCAGCCGGACCATGCAGAAGACTGACCAGAACTCATCTCACGGCTGCTCTTTTCCTACTGGCTGCTGCTGCAAGCGGGATTTTCTTAAGCCACCTCTAAAGCAGCTGGTTGGGAATAGTGGGAAGAGCCCACTTTGACTTTCCTGTAACCTCCAGTAATTTCCCCCCGTGCTTTAAATGCCACATTAAAAAAAACACTTTTGCAAGGAGAGGAGAGGCTGAGAAGCCCTTGGCAGCCATGAGCCACTGCTGTACCCAAGGCTGGCTCTCCTGGCCTTGCTGCAGAGGGACCAGGTGCCTCTTTCCACGAGGTGGCATCCCTGAGACGGAAAGCATCCAACTGGAAAGCAGGGATGGGGCGCTCTTTCCAAAAAGGAAAGAAAAATCTGTAGGATGATGACAGGTCTGTGAAAATCGGGAGCTGCAAAGGTCCAGGGCACCCGGCCTCACAGGGAGGGACCGGAGGGGAAGGTGCCGCTTCGAGGTGCATCTTGCCAGCACTTGTGCAAGTGCCTGTCCCACAAGGATGCTTTTTGGGTCCACTCAGGCTCATGGTGAGGTTTGCCAAAGGCCGCCTGGGGCCCAGTTCAGCCCATGATAAGTCTTCAGACCCAAGATTTTTGCTAGAGCCAGGTCATGGCTTCATTTGATTTTTCTTTGAAATCCTGAGAAATTCAGCATACATAGTGTATTACTTGATTTTCTTAGACCCTGGTGTTCTGAAGAGGGGGCTAAATCAGAGCATTTTTGTTTATTTGGACTCCCTGCAGAGCCCAGTCCTCCTAAACAGGGGGATGTGCCGTTGCAGATGTCTCCAGCCAGGCCCCATGGGGCACAAAGTGTGCAGAGATGGGGCTGAGTAAATAGGAGCTGCATGAGCCCTAAGCGAGCTTGAATTAAATTCTCAGGGGCTTTATTTTTTCCTTCTCTGAAACAACACTGTTAATTACCACGTCACACGCACCTCACTCCCCAAGGAGATGTTTTCCTATCTGGAGAAATCCAGGATGGCGCAAAATCCCCTGTGCTTGGTGCAGGGGCCGTCCAAGGAAGCTGGGAACGGAAAGAGGACGCTGGAACATGAGATTAAACCCTCAGTGGGCAAACAGCCTTTGAGGTCACCATGTAGTGCAGCAGATGGGCACAGCGGCTTTAAGTCCCTCTCCAGGCGCCAAGAGCTCAGGTTTTGGCTCTGTTTTCTGCAGTGACTCAAGGTCCCAGGTGGAAGCAGATTGCTGCTCCTTGGCCACCTTGCCCCAAGGGCCACCACATGTGGCTCCACCTCTCTGGAGTTCCCATGCAATGTCCCCTGAACAAACTTACAGGCCCCAGGATGCTCCAACACAGCCCTAAACCCACCTGTGGCCAGGGGACACCCCCCCGGTACCCGCACACCGTGGTGGGGACACACAGCAGAGTCTGGAGAGGTGCCAGGGAGCTGAGCCATCCTCCCTCCCACCATCCCTGGGTGCCTGTTCCCCCTACGGCTGCTTCTCCCAGAATGATGGGTCATTGCGGAGAGTAAAGAAGATGCTGCTATTCTGGTGGCCTTTCTAGGAGCTGCGGACATGCTGTTTTCTCTCCTTAAATGCTGTACTTTTAGGGGTTACTCAAGCTTATTGCATGGAAAAGTCAAGCTGAAAGGACTGTACAAGGATTGTTAAAGGGCCCCCGTTGTTAACAGGCTGGGAAAGGAACTGAAAACTGGCTACCACCTCTGCATAGGCCGGGATAAGCAGCCCAGAGCCCTGCACCGGTGGAGGCGAGAGCTTGGGATCACCTGGGCCCTGTAATGTGCATCTCCAGCTTTCCACCCTGCTGCAAATGGGAACACACAAAACCCAGCCACGTTGTCCCCCTCAATGACACACACACACACAGAGCTCCACACCTTTGGGGTTCATTGGGGTTTTTTGTTTTTTTTTTTTTTTGGTTTGTTTTTTTTTTGTTGTTTTTTTCATGGTGGATGTTGTACCAGTTTTATTGGTAAAATTGACATGAAGCCTCACAAACGCTGGAACATGCTTTTCCTTTTAAAGAATTTCCACTGGACCTTAATGGTGAGCATCCAGTCGTTGACATATAAACTCTTACAAGCTGATGTGCACACATGCGCCCGGGGGAGACGGTGGCAGCGTCCTGGTGTCAGGGATGGTTTCTGCGCTACGCACGGGGAGCCTACGATTCATTTGCCAGCCTTCTGGGCCTTCTGGGCCGACTTGGTGACCTTGCCGGC